TTCTCTGAGGAATATTCCTCAAATTATGTATCAATTGTGTTTGATCACGTATACGACACATACGCCTGCCTGCACATACATATGAGTGTATCTACGTGTGTGTTCGTGTAACTGCAATAGGAATAAATGATTACAGTTTTATTGTTAACGTTAAAGCTTTAAGTAAAATACCAATTCCTCGTTGTTGATTTCTTGTTTCTTTGGCTTCAAATCATTGTTTATGTTTGTCTTCGGTTTTTTGGTGTGTCAAGGTAACTCATGACGTGCGTAATTTTGATTGTAATCGTCATTCATTCATTGGTTCGTTAGTTCCTCTGCATGATGTTGGCCATAGTGGCATTCATATGTAATTAGTCACACATTTTAAATCATTGCTTGTCGTCTGCATTTACATAAAATGTTTTCATTAAAAACAACAGCAACAACAATAACTACCCGAAAACAAAACTTCCCTAGAAAACTACGAATGTGTAATAGATGATGACCCACACATTTCGAGCGTCACGAATTATGGTTTATATGGATTTGAGAAAACAAACTTGCGAAATAGACATTTTTATTGTGTTTTGAAATATTAATTGGCTAAAATTCAATTATCTCTCACGTTTATAATCAATTATAATATTTTTCGGAAATAATTATGATGAATGATTAAAACCGTTAATCGATTAATTTAACACTAGATTTACGAATGTCGATTATATGCCTATTTTTTGCGAAAGTGAGCCAATTTGGCTCATTTCAGGAAATTAAAGTTTTTTGTTGATGAAAACTGTTCCAATTCAATTAAAATTAAATATTCAGTATCATGATAACTCCTCACTGGAACATCGGAATCCGAAAATTCCAACGGTGTTAGAAAAAAGTTTTTTAGAAAATCGCCTCTTTTTGACCACAAACTAAATTAAAAAATATGGAAGATATTCATCGACTAGTTCATACGATAGCTATACACTCACAGAGAAACGTGTCAAAATTTGAAACCGATTGGATTATTAGTTTTTGAGTTGTCGTCCCCGCCATTCGTAAAAACAATGTTTCGAGAAAAACGACATTAAAGTTTGAAAAACACTTAATCCGTCGCTTGATGCTGACATAATAAATCGGTAATATCTTCAAAAGTTGTTAAGACTTTTGAAATTTTATAGGGACATTCTTGAATTAGTGTAGGTTTAAATCAAATCAAAAAACAAAATTAATTAAATTTTTTGAAACTGAAAATGGTTGGAGGCCTCCTAAGGCTAAAATAAGTCTGTCTAACTGAAAAATGCCTGTCTGGTTGGCCGATGTGCATGACAACTCTTAAACCGTGTCACCGATTTTTTCCAAATTTTGCACATTGTAATATTTTTTCCAAAACTAAATCAAGTTCGAAGATAGGGAATATTAGACCACTTCTTCTGTCACCTCCCCCACTACTGGTCAAACTTAAAAAAAATAATTTTATTATATCCTGCGAATGGATTATTTCTTTTTATCCTTATTTTTCCAAAACTTAATATTTTTACAAAAATTATATCATGGACGATGTTGGGTATTATTGGTCTGTACTTTCTGGTAACTCCCCCGTTTCCATATATAATGCAAACGAACTGTGCTCATCGTAATAACCTTGTCTAATCTTCTTTGAATCTGAAATGTTATTTATCGGTTCACTTCTTCTCGAAATGTGATTTATCGGTTCACTAGTTCCTCCTCCATTTGAGGTAAAAATTTGTATACCCTACACAACTATGTTGTCAGTGTATTATAGCTTTGTGCAACCCCAAGAGTTTGTAACGCCGCGAAATATTGGTCCTAGACCCACCTTTAAGTATACCGATCGTCATATCTCGTCTAGCTGAGTCGATCTAGACATGTGTGTCCGTCCGTCCGTCTGTCCATTATATTTTGTAAAAACGATACAGACCACAGTTATGGACCAATCTTCACGAAATTTTCCATGTAGGACCGGTTCTGGCCAACGAAGACTCCTATTGTTTTTGGTAAAGACCGGTTAATATTTAGGGGATAAAATGGACCAAATACTTTATTTTTGTCCAATTTTCTGGTCGCTCCAGACGCCGCAATTATGGCCCGAACTTCGCGAATTTTCACAAGGAGAAGGGGGTCGGGCCAAAGAATAAGCATGCCTGTTTTTATAAAGATCGGTCAATATTTAGCGGGTAAAATAGACCCAGATTTTTGTGTGAAAAATTACAACATTTGTATTCTATGGCGTACATATTTACTCCTGAAGGACATAGACCTGAGTTGATAGTATATCCAAGAGAACTGGTTGACCTTTAAATTGATACCAATTATATTGTCGTATGTAATCGCATGTGGGAGTTACACTTAAATATGTACCGGTGCTTACGTATTCATATATTATTTAGTAAGCCATTACCTCTCTAGAGGGCGGAAATATAACGCTGATCGCTTTGAAATTTTCCATGAGGTTCCAGTTATGGTCAAGTGGACCGAACACTTATTATTTTGTTTTTTTTCGATTCGATCTATATGCCACAAATGACAGCCGAAAATCACTACACAACCCACGGTGAAGGGAATCTGGACAAGTAATTAGAATGGCTGTGGTGAGTATTAGTAATATTTATTGACCTCTGGTCGGCCAAGAGGGTGGAATAATAGCGAATATAAAACTACAGAAATTTATATTTTCGTCGAAGTTGTGTAGGGTATCATATGGTCGGCCCCGTCCGACTATACTGCTCCGCTCACTGGTGTATACTTAGTAAACACATACTCATGAGTATCCGATTTGTTTATTTTTATCAAAACTTGATCATATCCCATATCCCCGAAGTATTCACACTTTAAAAAAATTAAACCTAGATCAAATCCTAAAATTGGTTCTATAGGACCACTGTCTCTAGTACATCGCCCACAAATTGTTAACATCTTGACTTTTTTCTATTTTCCTTCTTAGTTTTTTCTCAATTTCATATTCATATTAAAGTCCAGAACGATTTAAGGTATTTGCAAAATCCACTTCATGGTGGGAGTTATAAAAAGTTCGGTCCCACCGAACATAACGTCGTTTTTATATTCCCAGCCTTATGGCTAATGAAGGTATATGCACTTTATATGTCAAAAATTGACCTCATCGAAATATTGGTTTTAGACCCCATCCTTCATTGAACCAACTCCGTTTCAGACAATTTGAAGTCGATTTACCAATGCCCGTCCGTCTGTCTGACCGGCTGGCGCGCACGATAACTGTCAAAGGAAGTAACCGATTTCATTCAATATTTGCACATCGTAATATATCGGAATTTCCAATTTCTTCTAAACTTTGTACAACGTAACATTTTTACCGTATTCAGACTATGTCCGAAGATGAGACCCGTCTGTTCACTCTTTCTGGTACCTGCCTCACAAAATGGTCAACATTGTAATATCACGTGAACGGACTATCCAATTTGAACTAATCTTTGCACAATCTAATATTTTAATCATGACTGCATAATGTTGAAAAATGGGACTTCTCGGTCCACTTCATCTAATTCCTCCCCTATAATGGGTCAATATTTTGAAAACTAGTACATCTCAAATGAAGCGAACCGAATATCCAGCTTCATCAACATGTTTCACAACGTAATATTTTTACCCTACATAGAATATGTCCGAAAAGGGACTGTGTCAACATTTTTTAGATATCAATTCATATTTTGCAAATTGTGATATTTTTCAAACCTAAATCAACCATCGGAACCATCGTTCTACTCTCTACATCGTCCTCTACGTCTCTACATCGTATAATTCTGTAGACCTCCAAAGACCATAGCCTGAAACTTTTTTTGTTTGAATTATTATTGCGTACCAAGAACTATCAGTGTTTGTTAAAATAATGGTGCATGTCCCATATAACGCCACATCCAAGTATTCGTCGGAGCCTCCAAGCATCGACTTAAATATTTAAGATGAAGATTCATGGTTCTCTTTCGACCATTGGAGCTATAATTTGGCGTTCCGGTTTGTAGGAGGGTGAAAATCATTGTTGGAGAAAATAATACATATAGATTCATGCCATGCCTTGATTTCATTAGAACGTTCCATCTCATTTTAAGTATTCTTATGGTTCTGCCAAAGTGCCAGTTTAGTGGTGGATAAAAAATGTTATATACCGCAATTAAGTAATTTTTTGGTCCTGAGCTAATTTTTTGACCGAGATGAAAGGACCAACAAATATGATCTCTAGATACCGGCAGTATGTAACAACACCGTGCGTGAGACATTTCCCATGTTTAAAACTTCCATTTAATGAAATACCTCAGGAAATATAATACTGGATTTTCATGCAAATTCCCAATCTTTCCCAATGGTTGTTATACATCACTTTCCTTAGTTCTGCTATTCACGTAATGATTACATGTATTTCGTCAGATTTGATTAACTTCCGCAATTTTTAATGTCGGATTTTATTACATTAAAAGACAGATAAACTATTGAAACTTCATCTTTGTTTCCAACAAAAGAAGAAACAAAAGCAAAAACACCTTTGTTTGCAAACGTACAAAAAAAAAACGCAATAAAAAAGAAATGACTACAATAGGCTGGAATGCATTTTATAGGTCACATAAAAAAAGTTCGTTACCTAAGTCTTTTGATTTTGTTTTGTTTTTATTTTTTATTTCATTATGACCTCAAAGGGCTGTCTAACCGGTCAAGCTCAACCAAAAAAAAAAAAAACAGAAACAATAACAATTGCACATGTGTCACCGTTTGTAAATTGTTTTGCAGAATGAAAGCGAAAGCTTTGCCATAGACAACACACACACTCACCCACCACAACAATAGCCACCATAATCTACCGCATTTGGCCAGTAACGCATTATGGAGTATGTGTGTGTGTGTTTCTGTCTATGGGCTGTTGATGTTTGTTTGCCCTTATTTAATTTATTTAAATTAGCATTATTTTTAGTCAACAAAATAAAACTCAAAACGTATAATTTATTGACACCAATTATTGTAATTGTTGTTGTTGCCACAACTACTCTAATACCACTGGCTGATGACGACAATGATGACTCTTTAAATGTTATTGTGTGCTGGTAAGTGGTGGTGGTGGCTGGGTGTTTGCAATGGCTGGTGGTGTTGTTGTTGTTGCTGCTGCTGGTGACTCTTCGAATTGTTTCCATTTTGTGGAAATAGTATTATTACCTTATTTTCTTGCGATTGCTGTTGTTGTTATTGTTGCCGCCAGCTTTATTACACAATACCAAACCACAGCCATACACACATATTGTACGTGCTGATAAATAAATGTTTTGAGTAACTTTACCTCAAAAAATCCGTTAACACTCGAAAACAAAAGTGTGTGTAAAATGTTCATAGGGTTAAATAATGCCATTGAATGTCCGAAATCTAAATTTATGCTAAAAGTGTTGAGATGCATACTATACTAGGTGTGTGGAGTCGCTGTCTAAGAGTCGGAGTGGCATTTCCTGGCAGTGTAATTTCTCGTCGTGACGACATCAACTGGCCACGAATATCAGGCGATTTGATACCTGTAGACTTTTCTATGGGGCTACTCCTTATTTTTGATGGCGGGCATGATAACTCCTCACTCGAACATCGGAATCCGAAAATTCCAACGGTATTAGAAAGAGTAGATGTCTGGCTCTCGTATGAACTAGGATTATTGACTTCGCTCTAAAATTAACAAAATGGAGGACCATTAAAAAAATATTTTCGAAAAATCGCCAATTTTTTACCAAAAACCAAGTTAAAAAATAAGGAAGATCTTAACCGAATGGCTTTATCCTAGTTCATACGATAGCTATACACTCCCAGGGAAACTTGTAAAAATTTGGAAGCGATTGGGTTATAAGTTTTTGAGTTATCGTACCCGCCATTCGCAAAACAATGTTTAGAGAAAAACGCGTTTAAAGTTTGAGAAGCCCTTCAGCCGTCACTTGATGCTGACACAATAAATCGGCTATATCTTCAAGAGTTCTTGAGATTTTTAATTAGTGTAGATTCGAATTACCAAAAAAAAATTTTGACACTTAATAAATTTTAACTTACTAATATACAAGTAAAAAAGTGTTAGTCGGTGCTGCCGACAGATATATTCCTTCAGCCTATGGTTTGCGGAGGTATACATATTTATTTTTTTTATTTATTTATTTATTTTATTGCCACGAAAAAGCCATCTGGCCAATAAATATCGCAACATGCCAAAACTACAAAAGTGTACTTCACATTATAAAACGTATCTTATAGCTATACAGTATATATCTTAATATAAATTATGAATTCTAAGTAACAAACTTTAAAGCATATTTTAATTCATTTTAAAACTAAACAGTTCATATACTAACATAATATATGGATTTTAATTAACAAACTACAAAGCAGAAAAGACTATTGTCGGTAATATCTAAGCAAAAGAACTGAATAAAGTCGCATCTACCAAACAAATTAAAAAACCTTAGTCCAGCATGTAATTAACAGCAAAATCTTCAAACATGCGTTGAAATACACTGCGCGAAAAAGAACAATGTCGTAGTTCAACAGGAAGTTGATTCCACAAACGTGACGAACGAATAATAAAAGATCTTTCATATAAACAAGTGGAATAGCGCGGGAAAATTAACTGAGTGTTCCTGGTAGATCTAGAGAAAACAAGTCGATCACGCAGGACCCCGGGAAGATCTAAAGTGACAGATTTATATACAAATGAAATAACTCTTTTCTTTACGAAAACAGAAAACGGTACTCCTAGAAATTCAGCCGCATAAACTGAAACATGATCTGATCGACGTAAATTATAAACGTACCTTACAACCATATTGAACAATTTTTCTATTTTGTTAAAATGCTCATGTGTGGTGCCAGATACAACTTCTATACCATAAGAAATATGCGATATTAACAGAGAATAAGCTAGATTTCTCTATACAAATCGTGGCAAATAGAATTCAGTTGAGTATAATTTTCGAAGAATATTCATTACTCTTGGGTGTAGAGCATCAATATGAGCAGAAAAATCAAGTTTGCTATCAACAATAACTCCTAAGCACTTTATGCGATCAACGAACTCAATAATTAATCCATTAACACGTATATCTATACTATTGAGGCGACATAAAGGACCATATCCCATTGCTTTTGTCTTTGTAACATTTATTACTAGGTTATTATTACATAACCAACGCGATACTGCGGACAAGGTATTGTTAATGTTAAACTCCAATAGGGAACTAGATTTGCCGTTAAAAAATAAGTGAATATCATCGGCTTATAAAAACGGTCGACATACGCTATTATGTAAACAGTTACCAATGTCATTCACGTATACAACCAAAAGAAGGGGACCTAAAATTGAACCTTGGGGTACACCACTGTATATATTAAGTTTATTAGAAGTCTTGCCATTTAATGAAACATACTGGGAACGCCCAGACAAATAGGAGAGAATTAAATTACAAGCTGTATTATCAAAAGCATAATTAGATCGTAGTTTTTGAATTAGTCTCGAATAATCTACACAATCAAATGCCTTGGATAAGTCCAGGGCCACGAGAACACCACTTTCACCTCCATCAATTGTCTCTCTGATAAGATCAGTTAAGTCTACTAAGAGAGATGTAGTACTAAGCCCACGCCTGAAACCATATTGGTATTCATTTATATATTTCCGCTCATCAATAAATTCTTGAATTTGCTCCAATATGAGGTGCTCGGCAACTTTTGAAAGTGCGGTAAAATGCTTATTGGTCTCATATTTTCTATAGTCGGTGTTTCTTTAACTTTGGGAATGGGGACTACTCTAGCAACTATCCACGCTTGCGGAAAGACCGATGTAGTAAACATAGTGTTAAAAAATTAGGTCAAATGCCTAGATATGTATGGGTAAATCAGTTTTAAAAATTTAATAGGTATACCATCTATACCCACAGATTGGGACTTAACCCGCTGAAAAGCTTTAAAAACATCAATTTCAAAAACACAATTAAATGATAAAGTATATTCTTGTCTATCAATATCGGATAAATCTACATACGCATTGCTAATACTGTTGTTCTCAGTAAAATATGAATTTAAAACATCAACATCTAAATCAGTTGTAAAGTTAGTGTCATTACCAACGATACCGCCGGAACGAAGCTGTCTCCAAATCTGTGTCGCGTTTAACCCATTAAAATATTTGACGTAATATTTCTTACGTTCATTTCTAAGAACACTCTTAGCTTTGTTCCTAAGAGTGCGATACACAGCCTTATTCTGCTGCGTAGGATATTTTAAATAGTTCCTGTAGGCAATATCTCGCAATGAACTTGAAAGTATTATAGGTCTATGTATCTTCAAAGAGTCGAACATCATCGGAGAGGTTCCAGATTAGGTTGCCGTATAGACCCCGTCTTAGAATTTAATGTAGGTTTGGAAAAATATTACGATTTGCAATTTTTGGATCAAAGCACACATTCCATTATCTGGATATTGGACTAACAATTTCTTAAAATTTCACATATTGTGGGGAAGGTATGAGAGAGGGATCTATGTAAGATAAATATATTTCCATGTGCAAAGCCAAGATTATATCAGTTCGCTCCATATGAGATTTACAGGTTTTCAAAATGTTGGCCCTTTTTTGGGGAGGCACTTGGACCGATAAGTCCCATCTTCCAACATGTATAGGTGTGGTTAAATTGTTAGGCTGTGCTAAGTTTAGTTCAAATCGGATAGTCGGTTCGCATGATAAAATAAATTAATTTCCAGCAAAGGCCGACAAAGGTATCTTATACCCTTCGCCTCCTTGGGTACATACAAGAGATGCTAATATATACAATACCCTATAGATAGAGCACAATATCCTATAGATAGACAATCGGGCGAAATTAAATGTATGATCTACATAGATATTTTTTGAAATTTGAGGCCTAGTTTGGCCTAATTAAGCAACCGTGGCATATACCATTTGGTATGCTAAATATCCGAACCGAATTCAACAAAACCTCGTATAAATCAATATAGACCTATTTCAGTGTCATAATCGGACAAATATTGGGGGTTTGTTGCAAACTATATATGGGAATATCTAATTCTAAACAGATTTCTACAAAACTTCGAATACATCATTCTGACCCTAATTCTGTGCCCTGTTCGAAATGTTGTCTCAATTGGACAAATATTAGGTGTTTGGTGCACTATTTCATTCGTTTCATATAAGTATCAAAGTTATGACCCTTTGTGTGTGTGTGGTTGGGGTTTTCTAGAAGGGTTGGACCGATATGTCGTATATCCCAAAAAATATACATGTATTGTTTAAAGTATTACGTTGTGCAAAGTTTTGTTTGAATCGGAAGCTTCGTTCGCATGATATTATAAAATGCATTTTTAGCATACTTTAGACCATTTGTGGTGGAGCTACCAGAAGGAGCGTGTCGATTTTCTCAAATCGTGCATTCCATTATCCTGATATTGGATTTATACATATTGAAAATATTGACCCTTTGTGGGGGGAGGTATCAGAAGTAATGGACCAATGGGATCCATATTCGAACTTTATACTTTCTTAGTAAAGATAATAGGTTTTTACAAAGCTTGGTTCAAATCGGACATTCCATTTGCATAATATTGGATTTATAAATATTGAAAACTTTGAGCCTTTTTGGGGGTGATAACAGAAGTAGTGGAATAATGGGTCAACGTGAATAGTCCGTTCGCATAATATTGTAAAACAAATTTCAGCACAATTTTAAAAATGTTGTGGGAGGATGTACCAGAACAAGTCGACTGATATTCTCCTTCTTCGAACTGGAACTAAGTTTGGAAGAAATATTTCGATGTGCAAAGTTTGGATGAAATCGGTTACTCCCTTCGAGAGTTATCGTGCTCACCAGACGTTCAGAAAGAAATTTTCTGAAACGGATTTGGTCCAAAGAAACATTGGGTCTAAAACCAATACTACGATTTCATTAGCCATAAGGCTAAGGGTATAAAAACTCATCATCACATTTTTGGGGGATGTTTTGTTTCTGATCAAGAATATAAACACTTTATGCGGCCTCCGGTGACATTCTCGAAGTGTTATGAGATTTCCGGTGATATTCTCGAAGTGACAAGTTTAATATAACTCCACTTTATGGTGGAGAATATAAAAATGTATATATGTGAATACATTTCTGTACAT